CTGACTGGAGTATCACTATACTGATATTTCCATTTCTGTTTTCCGCGACAATGGTGTTCAGATGGAATTATGGACCAGTGTTGTGCCACTTACTTCCATATCTATCAAAAGTAAGTTCGTCGAATATTTGTAATATCTATCGAAGAAGAAAAAACATTGACATAAGTAATCCATCGCAATGACATACACGATAGTATATAAATATGGCGCTAACGATCACATGGACTTGGCGAATCAACGGTCAATTTTATAGTTACAATAATAGTGTGACAACACGTGGAACAGCATGTGTTTATTTGTTTTCGGGAAAGTTGATATAATTTATATATTCTCTTACTGATTTGATGTTGTGTGGTGTAACTGTCAGGCGTTTGTGCTGTGGTGTGCTTGGTAGTTGATATATATGGTAGTCATCTGTAGTGTAGTGTAATGTAGTGTAGTGTAGTGCAGGAAGAGACTGACAAGATATTAGCCCGGTGATGCGTAATCCCCCAATGCCAGCAATGATTACCTTTAGTGTGTATCAGATTCCCATCATTGTACGATTCAATTCCTCAAAGAAAATGAGTTCATTTTTCCCAAAAATTAAGGAAAGTCGACCGTTGTATGTTTGTCGTGTTAATTGAAAACAAGCGATTTGTCACACTCACAGTCATGGGCGGATTTAGAGGGACCGAGGGGGCTTCGCTTCGCGCCATCGGCTCTCGCAAACTTGGCCTTCGACCAACTTATCGGCCCCCCTATTCCAGATTCTTAGATCCGCCCCTGACAGTTGTGCCAAATATACCAATTTGATCAAAGAGAAGACACCTCACATTAATATCCAGAAATTACTCGACAATTTACATCATACAAGACGTTCAGTTCAATTAGAATGAGAATTAATTAGGTTAAGATAAAAGTATGGAAAACCAGACATCAGTGGATAAGAAAGTATACAGTTGAGTGTAAACATGGATGCCCATGATATTTTGCTATAAGTATGCTGATTGAGTCAATTCAATAATATGGATATCATAATTGAAATATAATACAAAGTTGTGATAAAGAACATTCGAGTAATTTTGTCGCTCAATAGTAACCTGTCGCCTGACCAACCATTTTTTTTGCATAATTTGTTTTATTTTTGTTACAGTCTGCTACCCTTGTCAGTATATACACACTTATCTTCATCGCCTTCGATCGCTATACCGCTGTAATGTCACCCGTAGCAAGCACCGTATCGAGGCAAAGAAGAATCACGGTTGTCATAGTAATATGGATAGCAAGTCTCCTATTCTCACTGCCATTGGCATATTTCAAGAAATACGAAAATGTTGTCAATGGTGGAGTGACGGTACCCGTATGTTATGACGAATGGCCAGGGGAAAGTAATATAGCATACAATTGGATAACAGTAGTAGTGGCCTTTGTAGTGCCAATGACAACTATCTCCATCATGTATATCCGCATGAGTATAATGCTGCGTAGTCGTAAAGTACCTGGACAAGCGAACGCCACACGGGATTCGCGACAGAAAAAA